AGGTCTGTCCTGCAAGTGGGAGCAGGGTGGGGACCTGGCTGACCTGTCTGTCACAGAGCAGGGACCAGGCCTGGCCAGTCCACCTTTGCTGCCTTCTCCCTCAGCTGCTCTGCCTAGGGGCTCCTTCCTGGGACTGGGGGGCAACTGAGGAAAGAAGCCGGGCCCACATGGTGAGCCCTGAGTCCCTGCTGTAGCTGCCTCAGCGGGCAGGAGGGACCTAGGTTTTGGTGGATGGGTACACAGAGGCTGGAGCAGAAGCTGCCTCTGGAGACTGGCTCTGGGCCCGTCCACCTCCACTGCAATGCTGCCCACGGGCTCAGTCCTGCCCTGCTGTAGTGTTCTGCACAGGGCACAGCCAGAACGGAGCTGCCAGTGTCTTAGTCAGTGAGAAGCGAGCCCAGCATCTGGACTTCCCAGGTCCCTCTGAGCACACTTCCACTCTCGGTTCTCCTAAGATGGCACCCTAGGCTTTGACAAAGCGCCTTGTAGGGCACAGGCTTTGAGCAAATCCCCACTCACGATCTCCCTCCGCCTACGCTCCAGTGTTTCAGGTGACAGCTGCTGCCAGGAGCCAGCCCGACTCAGCGGCCCAGCCAGTACGATCTCGCCAGCAGCACAGATGCAGAGAGGGGCAGGGGCTAGCACCAGGCTGGGCCAGGGGCATCCAAGGGAACCAAGGTGGTCGCCATCCGGATGGCCATCGGGACCTGGACTCTGAAGTCAAGTGCTCTGAGCTGTTGGTCCCCAGCCGCCAGTGCCTCCTCGCTGCCCCCTCAGGTACCCACATAAGCTCAGCCTTCTTCCCAGAACCCCTGACTCAGAGAATGGGGGCATCTTGCTCTCTCAGATCTACTTTTCCTCTCCGGGCCCCACCTGAGCCGCACTGAGCCAGCAGTAAGCACTGATAAACTGCACAGACAAGTGCAAGAGTCCCCAACACGTCCGGTGACGTCAGCACCACAGCGTGCCTGTCCTCTTCCACTGCTCGCAGCCTCAGACCAGCCAGGGGAGGGCCTTGGCCTGCATGGGCCGCGGCTAGTGGTGGATGGCCACACGGTGGCCATGAACGTTCGCAGGGCAGAGCCTGTTACCACGGGACGAGCACAGTGCACAGGAAGACTGACGTGCAGCACAAACCCTCACTTCGTGAGCAACACTAACAGGGACGCCAGGCCCTTGGCACTCAAACAGACCAACAGAATCAAATAAGGCCTCCCACAGCTGTGCATCTGCTGATGCTGCGACCCGGCAGGCTGAGGCCACACGGGAGACCTGGTGTCCACTCCTGGCCACCCCAAAAGCCAGGAACAGGGTCATGCACCTTGGTCTCAGCCACGTGGAAGTAAGTAAGGATCACAATACAGTGGGACCCTGTCTGCACAAATTTAAAAGGAAAATAAAAAATCCGTCCAAGCTTCTGAAAGAAGCACTCCGATTAGAAGGTGGGCAGGCTAGGAGCCGAGCCTGAAGTGAGCAATGGAGGGCGGGCACGGTGTCCCAGCACGGCGTCGAAATGCAGGAGCACCTCTCGGGGCTGGCAGGAGAGCGTGGGTTTTCACCCACTCTAATTTTGCTATTCATCTATTTTTATATGTTTTTGCTATAGGGTATGTCAGCTTGCTAGAGAGAGAGAGACAGAGATGGAAAGAGAAACCACTCCCCAGGGGGGATGGCCATACCACAATCCTTCTCCATTCTCCTTTTGGGATTTCAGGCACATATGCACACACACTGGCTTGGTTTTCAAGCTGCTGAGTCCAGGACTTGAACCACAGAATAGGTAGGCTATGTGGGATCCATCACCTTAACTACCATGCCACCTGGTGGCCCTACCATTTTTCTTTTTTTTGGGAGAGGTTTCTTCGCTATAGGGCGCGTGCGCTCGCCAGACAGAGAGAGACATAGAGACAGAAAGCGAGAAATCACCCCCCAGGGGGATGGCCACACCGCAATCCCTTCTCCTGCATTCTCCTCTCGGGATCGTGGGCACGCACGCACACGCGTCCAGCGTGAGTTTTAAGCCACCGGGTCCGGGACGCAAACCACGGTCGACTACATGGGAGTCCAGCGACACAGCCATTACGCTAACTGCTGGTTCCCTCTCTTTTTTTTTTTAAAGAATTATTTTTATTTAATTTTATTTATTCATTCATTTATTTTAATTTGACTAGAGAGAGAGAGAAAGTGAGAAAACAAGCCACAAGGTCCAGGACTTGAACTGTGGTTGGCCATGTGGGAGTGTCCAGTGCTCTAACCACCATGCCACCTGCTGGTCCCAACATTTTTCTTTGTTAGTGAGTTCTCCCTCCCCCTGCTATAGAGTGTGTGCTCTCATCAAAGAGAGACAGGGACAGAGAGAGAGGGAAAGTGAGAAAGCACCCGCAGGAGTGATGGCCACCCTTCAATACCTTCTCCTCCATTCTCCTTTAAAGATTTTGGATATGCATGCACATGGTCCAGCATGTTTTTCAAGGCACTGGCTCGGAGACTCAAACTATGCACTCAACCGTGTGAGATCTAGCTGCCTTAACCACCACGCCACCAGCTAACCCAAGGATTTAGGTCAACTTTAAAAGACATTCTTCCTCTGCTACTTAAAAGACAAAAAGATACTTGGCCAACACTTGGCAGCAGGAGGCCAGCAAGGCCCTTTCTTTTGGAAGGAAGATCTGGCCAAAGAGTACAGGGCCCAGCATGGGCCTATGCGTACACGTCCCGTCCCTGATGTTCATACGCCTGTGCACACGAGCTCCCCCTCGCTCCTGCAGTCCCGGTCTCTGAAAAGCCCCAAATGTGCACATGTTCAAGTATCCGCTCAGGCCCTTCCCTCAGCAAAGGCAGGCCGCGCATGTAGGCCTGGTCCAGGGGAGCACAGTCCCCACTGGTGCTATGGTC